GTCACACACAACCTTGTTCTTATCAACTAGACCAACTTGTATTACAAAAGCTTTTGTAAGATAATTTGCTCACAACTCAGAAGCAATAGTAGCATAAAAATATAACTCAGAAGCACAGATGGCAGCTGTAAACACACAAAGCATTTAAGCATGTGTATTCCATAAGCAATGTTCTAAAAGTAGTAATTCATTTTCAATATAACACCACAAAATAAAGCCTCCCAAAAGAACTTGTTCAAGTCTCAAATGAGCAAGAGAAGACATCTAGTAGAATGTAAAAATATGCCACACAGAACAAGTAAACTGTGAGGCATCAGCAATAATCCAAAACCCGAATATCATGCACCAACAAGCCCTACAAGCAAGGAAAAAAGAGGAACAAATAAAATCTATAAAATAAAGCCAACAAGCAAAGCAGAGATGCCCTAAAGGTAATTTACATCAGAGAGCTTGAATTCAAATACACAGATGATGTATCTATTCTTTTCCCGGAAATGCCTACTTAAATGTCTCACAATAAGGATTTAGACCACACAATTATACCCTGCTCATGTTGTGCTACATTTGACCACCCAAATCCCGTGATGCTCTCCCCTATTATTCAACGAGTTTTTTTTGTCTTTTCCACCAGCTAATCATCTCTAGACCTTTGTTTACAAAAAGGATTAGCTCCTAGCTAGATATCCACTAGACATAATACCATTTTAATCTTCATTTAAAGATCCTTTCCATAAACAACATACAGGACTCTAAAACTTGAACCAAACCAAGCAAGAAATGGTAAAGATATGGTTGTTGAAGAAGTACCATAACTAACTCATTTCCACATAAAGCTCTGACATAAAGAGGCTCACATGTCCATGAAGTCCCCAACCAAAAGTAAGCAGTGCACCAGCATCTGATCATGAAATAAATGATGAACGGAAGAAAGCATATCAGCATAAAATAGTTACAACTTGCAATAAATGAACATCATTTTGAACTAAATATGTTCAAAAGAACCAAGTAAGATGCAGTAGGCAATCTTGATCAAGTTGCATCCCAAGTTAACAAAAAGGGATGGAAATTACTATAGGACAAAAGACATCTGAAATAGGATACAACAACTAGAAAGTCAATTAAGAATGTAAAACTCAGTCTTGACCCATATTAGAGAAGTAGTCCACTGAATCTTCATTTTTTGTTATAAATTTTAAGTCCATTTGAAGAAATATTGAAAATGTTATCATCCAATGTGATTGTGGAAAAACCTGTTGTTACTGGACTTTGACGACCTCAACATGCGATACCCTTTACGTAAGTTCCCAGAGCTTTAATTGCCAAGTTCATGCTTCCTTGGTGAACTACTGAAGACCTATCTTTTTCAAATGAGGATGGCTCGATACAAGGTATGAAAAGAGGAGAAGACACCATTTTTATCCTAGAACGCAAACCTAGCTAGCCTTTGCCTCCATAGCCCCAACCCCACACCTGCCCCACATCTAAAACTTTGGTAAGAACATGATGCATCAGGAGTCTTGCTTTACACTAAAGATCTTCCATAGCATTGTACTTCATATGACCTACAAAACTATATTGCGTAACCACAAAGAAGTAACTTCACCTAAAAACTGTCCTTCACGAGCCTCAGTATCCAGGAGAAGGTGGATTTACCTGAAAGTGCTAAAGTATGTCAGCCACCAGCAGCAACAGATGTAATCCTCACTCCTGGATCCAGGTCTACAAGACAAGGTGGTGCTGAGAGAGTTTCATCAGTAGATGTTAAGCTTTTAACTTCTTGTTTAGTGGATGATATTCTTCTTCACTTTACACTTTCCTCTCCAGATTTATTATTATCAGATTGAGTTACTGCAGCAGCAGTTGGTTTTGATCCGTTAAATCGTGGGCTCACTTAGTAAAATTAAGTCATTATATTAGTCTCCGAAAATGCAAAAGTGTGTTCCATCAGCTTTCTTTGATAAAAAGGCTGCCTCCAACTCACCTTGTTCAGACAGGATTGAACTTTGTTTTCCAAAATTTTCCTTTCCAAGGCTCCCTCCAGAAGAAAAATCACAAATAATTTTCCCTGAGGGAACACATTCTTTCCATCCTCATGTGTATACTTCACCTATCTCCACGTTTTGACAATTCAAAACAGCATAAGATTATAAATCTGTTTTTGATCTCCTTCACTTTCCTTCTACTTTTATTCTTTAAGCATTGCCTTCATAGCTTATCCAATATACTACAAAATTAGTAATACTTCATTTGTTTGCTGACAAAATGGAAGGGAACTGAAGAAATCAACAAATTAAAACTCTTAGAAACTTCATGTTTGGAACCTGAGGAAACAAGAATTTCCACCAAATTGTAACTAGTATATCTGATATGCTCAGTTGAGGCTGGCTCTAATTTGTGGAAAGTATGCATCACCTAATATTGCAAATAATTAATTTCACTTCTTTTTTTCTTTTTCTTTTTTTTGTAAATTTATTTATTTTTAAATTTTTTCATAAATTTCTTGACAACAAATGAAACAAAGCCTCAATAAACTGCATCTGTCTCACCCTGTTAAATACATAAATAAATTGTTTACATGCAGAGCTCTGCAGATTTTCCCTACTTTTTGAACGTCGAGAAAAGTTTCATACCAATTTAATTCAAAAATATTTATTTATCTCTCTTTCACTCATCACTATCATGTCTCTTAAACCTCTCTAGATGAAATGACTACTACATTGTCTTTAGTGTGTTTAAAACTATAATTAATATCACTCCCTATATTATGGTTTGGACTTTGAATAAGAATAAATGCCTCCCGTTCAAACTACATATTCAAATATAAAATATAACTCTAAATTTTCCATCATGTTTATATTAGCTTCATGTAGGTGATTTCTATGAAATCTTGAAAATGAAACTTTCTATTTATGTAGCATAAACATCAAACTATTCAGCAAAGCAATTCAACATGGAGTAGATGACATCCTACTGTGAAATCAACATAATTAACCAAAGAAAAATTTTGGATCACAATGCCAATCATAAAGTAACAAAGGAGGTTTTCAGTAGCTTAGAAGTAAATCAGTACAAATTGGTTAAATCAGTACAAATTGGTTCAACACATAGCATCTTGCCACGCATGAGTAGGAAGTTTCATTTGGAGAGATCAACATAGTCAACCAATGTGAGCCCATCACAAAACAAAAATCCAACAACCGCCACCACCACCAAGAATCAAATTCATCTAACAATAATTCCAAGAAGTAAGAATGATAAGTTCCTTGATATTGAAACAGTACTAATGTGATCAAAAACTCAAAATGTACATATTCAACTCCACGAGACATCCAAATCAAACACCAGTTTCAAGCTACAGAGAAACTACAACCAAACTGATAGCATGTACAAATGCAGTCAAACGAAAGGACAATTTGTCTACATGGACAAATCGAGAAGAGAGAGAGAGAGTGCCGATTAAAGTTCAGAAACAAAGTAGACTATTCGCTGCCATCGGAGCTTGAAATACGAGTAATCGAGGGGTCAGAGTTCAGATCTGAGCTTCTGGAAATCACTGAATCTCTGAATCTCTGTAAATGAGACGGTGGAGCTTGCTACCTCGCCGGTGCAGCTTTGAAATCGGTTCGGTGGAGCTTCAATCTAAATCTTCAATGGAGCTTAGAAATGAATCTTCAATGGAGCTTCGAAATCGCTTCGATCTGAATCTTCGATGGAGCTTAGAGAGGGTTAAGAGAGAGAGAGAGATGTGTGCGTATAAGGGTTGAGAGACAAATCTGAATCTTCAATCGAAATCATTTTGTGTAATATGCTTAGAGAGGGTTCTAGTTCAAAATAAAGTTTCACAAAACGAGGCGCGTATGGCTACTGCATTTGGAGACGTTTTAAGCGCCTCCTATTATAAAACAGTGCCGTTTTGTTTAATAGAATATGCGGCATTTATAAAACGCCGTTAAATGTTAATAACAGTGACGTTTAAAAAAACGTCGTTAAAAAAACGCCACCATAACCTCTTTTTCCTGTAGTGGAAGAATAGGTTCATTTCATATGAGTAATGTTATACAAATTTATTTTTTTATTTAAAATTCTCATTTAATTGATGTACAAACACTCATAAATCTAGAGAGAAAGAGTTGTATGAGAGAAAATGTGTCATAATCGTATAAGAGAGAAGGTGAAAGTTGGATGTTGGGAAATGACCCAGAGAGTTTGAGAATGATCTACTGACTTGAGCAACAACTGTAGATGTTGTTTTTAGATGGTCATCAAATGGCTGGAGATTAATGTGTCAATCTAGACGTTTAATATAGCGACCCCGGTCTTTTCCCATTTGATTATTGTATCCAGACTTAGGTTCCGTAGATTCTGTCATTATATAATTGTTGTTGTTGTCCCTTATTTTCTTATTTGGAGTTATAGGATGTGTTGGGCAGGTTTGTTTCAGGTTGGTTGGGTTTAGAAACCATGTGTTGCTGTCCAGAATTTTGGTTCTTCGCTCGAGCGAGGAGTTGGTCGCTCGAGCGAGCTGTTGTTTTTGGTTCTTCGCTCGAGCTGGGGTTTGGTCGCTCGAGCGAGAGATTGCGTCCAGTATGGACCTATAGCATTGCATTCTTGGCTCGAGCGAGCTTTTCTTTGCTCGAGCGAGGATTTCTTGTTTCTGGTCGCTCGAGCAACCAAGTCTTCGCTCGAGCGAGCTTGTCCAGTTTAATTAGACAGCAGCGGGTTTTTAATCAGTTTTTCATCCTCTTTTTAGATTCCAAACCCTAAGGTCCGACTTCTCTCTCACCCTGCTCACCTTCTCTCTTAGATTTGATCCACTTAGGGTGTGTTTCTACCCTAGATCCTTCATTAAAAAGAGTGTGTGAGTCGAGGGCTTCGTTTTAATCTGAATTGTTGGTAGTTTGGAGCACTTTGGAGTTTGGGTCTTCATCTCCATCTTCTCTTTTGGGGCTATTTCTTCGAGGTAGGGATTTCCTACTCCATTTTATAAGTTTTGTTCTAAGTTTTGGTATTGCATGATGTTATTAGTCGAAAGGATTACAAGGAGAAGTACTATAAGAGCTTGATGCCTCTTGGCCTCAAGTATGCTGAGGTAAGCAAAATGCTACTACCACTACATTGGTTGCATTCCAATTTTGTGGATCATTAAATTTATTCTTGAACCCTGTCTAAATGTTATGATCTGGTGATCTAAACACAGATTTCGTGCAGCTTTTACCTTGGGGAGGAAAGATTACAAGTGAGTCACTGAGATTTTTCTCACCAATTGTAATATGGACCAAGTTTTGCCCAAGCCAATACAACCATAATGTCTTATATTCTGCATTCATGGATTACTACAAGGTACACAAATAAGATATTTATGCAATTTGTTTTTAATATCATTTGAAGATCTGACAACTGATGGGGTGTGTTCATTTATATTTTGGATCGTATTTTGAGAGGAAGTTGGTCAAAAGGAGGGGGAAAATGTGTGAGTGAATGAAGAATTCCAAACTTTGTACATCCGCTTATTATGTTGCACTTGCAGGCATGGCTTGACCTGATGGAACAAGCTTCGGAGGAGACCAGTGCTTCTGAAATTATATGCAATTGTGAAGCACAACAATTCTTTATTCAATGCTTATATTTGGTTTAGTATTTTTCTACTGGGCTGTGGCTCACCCTATATGGGAACATCATTTTCAGGTTCAGGTGATAAGCTACCTCCAAGAACTTAGCTTGGCAGGACTTGGATTTTGAAGACTATTTTCAGTTATTTGTTTTTCATTGTTAGTACATGTAACATACAAGCCTAGGGCTTTATTTGTAATTGAGTTAGAACTCATACTTTTGTGTCCAAGTGTTGGCTTGGAAAGATGTAAGCCTGTAGGGCATTTAATTTGACGTTACATGTAATGCTTTTATTTTGTAAGACTCTGATGAATATTATAATGAATTGTTTCCTTTTAAACATTGCATGTTGATGTTATATATATTTAATGGGTTTATTTTGAGGGCGTTACATTTAAGATGAAAATAGACTCAATCAAAAAAAGATAAAAAGTTGGTTGGTTGTGTCAAAATGAAATTTGTACTATTATAGTAATATTATTATAATTTGATATTTTAGTATTGTAATATGTCAAATTATAACTTTAGCATTGTTAAAACGACAATGAACGTTGGAAATACTTTTATAAAGTGAAAAAGAAAAATTAAGTATATTTAGAATAATTGTTTTAATTAAATAAATAGATATGAGAGAAAAAATAATTAATTGATATATATAATATGATCTTTTGTTAGTAAGGTTGAATTTGTTGACTTGGTGACTTTTTTTTATCTAAAAAATCTCTTGCTAAACGAGATGTTAGTATAGGTGGAATTACGATTTAACTCGATGCAACCTGAGCCGTCTCAAGTATGTTTGATTTTGTTTTTTTTATTTATATATAATTTGTTCGAGTCTAAATTCAAAAATCTAAAACCTATTAAGGGTTAGTTTGGGAAGTGGGTTGACTTTTTAGTTTTTTGGTTTTTTTTTACTATTTTAGTCTGTGCTAAAAAACTTGGTTTGGGAAGGGTTTTTTGACTTTTTGACTTTTTTGACTTTTTTTGTGAGAGAAGAGTATAATGATTATTGGTTGGATGCGATGTTTTGTTTGTTATGACTAAAATAATTTATTTTATCTTTTATAACTAAAATAGCCAAAAAAAACCCACAACCTATCTTCCCAACCTATCTTCAATTTTAGATTCTACCCTGATCCAATCCAACTTATGTTTATTCACCCAAAAAAAAATCCAACTCCTACATACTAGTTGATATAATTAAGGGGTTCAGATCCTCTGTCCCAGATCACTATAAACTAATCTCACTCTGTTAAACCTCTTTCCTCTCTCGCCTAACTAGTCACGGCTCATATACTAAATGAGTAATGCTATAAACCACTAATTTATCATCACTAACCTCACCACTAATGAGGTGGCAATTGACAAAAAAAAAAAAAAAAAAATACAAGATACAAAACACATGTGGTCTAAAGCATTTTTTTGATACTAAATTTATCGACGGGTCCGCTCGATTTTGTTTCCATCATCAACAATTACAGCCACAGCAGTCTGTCGGACCGACACCTTCGCAATACCATAATTGCTGCCATTCATATTATGACCTCGAAAGTGCTATAACCCTCTCGACCCAATTTTTACCAACTGGGGTGGTTTCATTAAAGATAAAAATTTGTTCTACTTTTTTTTGTAGCCATAGGCCATATGCAAGAGAAACTATTTTGCCCCAAAAAGAATGAGATCAAAACTTCAGAACGAATCGACAACCCAAAATTAATCTATCATAATCCAAGTTGGAAGAATGGAGATAAAAACCCAAATGTAAAAGAGAGTTCTAATCAGTCATCACTAGTTCATAGAAACCCAGGTCTAACGAGTCATTAGTTTCATAGAGGCGAAAAAAACAGTTCTAATGATGAACTATTCATCATCAATGGCTAGGACAAATTTATTTTCCATCGCGGGGTAGATATAATTTCTTTGTTGTTCTGGCTGAGAGTTGCAGATGTTTCTTGAAAAAGTGAGGGATCCAAGACCAAATCTGAAACTGTTGAAATGAAAGTAATAGGATATACTCTTGTGAGACGGTAGTAGGAGAACTCGAGTTTATGCCCGGTTTTGGTCATGAAGGAAGATGATGGAGTGTTGCAGTTGCAGATCTCTAGGTGGACGAGTTAACTCGTGGGTCGAGAGAAACAACAGACAAGGGCCAGGAAGTTAACGGAGTAATTAAACTTAAGTTTTAAGTGATAAATGCGTGGCAACACGAGCAATAAAAGATTGAAACAATGGACACATGCTAACACGAAAATAATGGGACAGGTGATGGGTACAGATAATGGGTACAGAAGATTTGAAGCTGTCATGGGTTGTGATTTAGGAATCTTATAAAATTCAAAGTCATTAATCTGGTTTGTTATCCTTTAAAAAAAATTAAAGGTCCTATCAATTTTTTTATTCATAAAAACTATAATTTTTAGCAATTTCTTAAACACATTAGTTTTCTTATCTATTAAAAAATTCAAAAAATTACAAACAAAAGAAATGGACAAATTTCATTTTATCCCCTTATTGTTTGGCTTATGTGCAGATTACCATCCTCTCATTTAGAAATAAAGACATAGCCCCTTTATGATTTGTGGATTAAAATGCATTGTTAAACATTCCCTCTAATTTAACAACAAGTGTGAAATATGTGTAGATATAGGAAGATTATATACTCATTTTTAAAACTCAATATTTAGTGCTTCTATTTGCACCCAAAAAATAACTTGGTACGCCCAACTAAAATATTGAAATTTTATTTCTTATTATAGCTTAATATAAATTTACAAATGAAAACAACACATATTAAACCCTAAAATGAAATATAATTTTTTTCATGGTACACCTTAATCACTTATATGTATTTTTCATGTTCAATTATCTTCATTTTCTTCTCCAAGTTTCAATTATTTTCTTTTATTCCTTTTTCTCACTCCAAAACTCTAATCTACCCCATCAAAACTTACTATTATCATCGCCACAAACAACATCACCATATTGAATGAAACCCTAGATTTAGAATCAATAATAGAAGAACCCTAAATTTCGAGCCTAAAATTCTCACCTAGAGGTTTGCTGCGGAACTCCGTGCTTTATGTTGTTTCCTCTTTGTTTACATATGTAATTTATTCGCTTTAGTCAATTGTATTATAGAATTGTCTTCTAATTATTGGGTCAAATCTTCCATTATGTAGTTCCAAGTTTGTTGGTTTTATTTTCGAACAAAGTGAATTTGTTCGGATCTAAAAATCTGAACAAAACAATCTTATTCAGCACTGGAAGGTCGAACAAGCTGGCTTAGACCCCATCTTCATTTTGTCCTTTTTCTTCAACTTGGACCCTATGTGCTTATTCTTCAATAATTGACAATGAAAAGGCTCAGAAAAGGATAACATGGCTGAGACGTGCTTGAGAATGACAGAGAAAATGCTATGGCTAATGTACGGGGAGCAAATATTCAGGCAAGCCCGTATTCCTTTCTTCCGAGCTCCTGTCTGTCCGATCGTCCTGCGAGCACAACGGCGGTGAGCTACCCGGCGGTATGTGGCCGGAATACCCCTCCGACGATCAAGTTAAACACACACAGGGATAGAGAGAGGATTGTTGAGTGTAAGTGTTTTCTCTTACCAAATGTTCATCTGTCCAAGCATGGGGGTGTAAACATGCTTATATACCTTCTGCGCCCCAAATCTACTCTCATTAATCTCTCGACACGTGGTGCTGCTATCTCATCTATCAGCGCAAATCCAGCTGAACATCACCTACCTAAACTGCTAGCCCACGCTACTGGGAGCTTGGCAGCCGGGATGCAGCATCTCGGCTTCCTTCGGCCATGCTGCACTTCACACCCAAATGCTTTAATAACCGAGCTTCGTAAAAGCCGAGCTCGGGTGCATTCCGGCAAAGCCGAGCTTGAAGTAGGGCATGTCGGTTAACTAAAGGCCTTCATGCCGAGTCACGGGTGTGCGCCTTCCGACCGAGCAACGCACGAACCGTCGAACCCTGTGAAGCTGTAGATATCTCAGCCGAACCCTCACTTGACCGGCTTCCGTACCAAGTCTGAGTAGCTCGGTTCCACACGCCCTTTGCCATTACCGAGCAAAAATCCCTTCTGGATGGGCCCAGGCTACCACAGCCCAAATGTGTTCGGACCACAATTTGTCCGGCAATACCATGGCCCAATCTAGATCATAAATCTCCCTCTCAATTACCCCTTAATTCCGTCCGCGCAAGCGTGACCGGGATTATCTATTCTGACCGGGGTAACACTTCCTCAGTTCTCAGTTTGCAAGACGGTGACCGGGTTAGTTGACATACCTGACTTCAAAACTTGCCCGGTCGACGCCTCGATTCCCCATCATGTCTCTTCAGTACTGACGCCGCTGTCAATAGGGACACGTGTCGTGCGTTGATTGGCCTCGAGCAACCAACCCTGACGTCCCCTCGTATTCAAAATTTTTGGCGGTTCCTTGGGCCTATATACATGCCCAGTCTATCTTCATTTCGTTCTTACTGACCCTCTTCCATTCTAAGCGTCTTGAAGCTGCAGTGCCCATGCCAAGCCTCCATTCTCGCCCTTCCTCTATGTTTGTGCTTGAAGGAACTGCATCTGTCTCTACCTGGTAAGTCCTTCGAGCTCTTTGTTGCTATTTCATTTGTTATTCCACGCTTTAGGGCACATAATCCATAGATTTTAGGGTATAGGACCCCAAAATCCTCCCATGCGCCTTGCACTCATTGCTGCTCTTCATCCTTCCTGATGAACACCTAAAGATCTGGGGTGGACTGGGCTCCAAGTCTTCTTTTGATCCCAAAAAACATTAAGACCGAGCAGCTTACAAGTTTGCCCAAAACCTTAGTAAAAACCGGGGTAGGCAGAGAACTTGGTCGCTTGACCGGGCTAACATCTGGTCCGCTTGAGCGACCGAGCTCCTTGCGACCGGGGTGATCTGGCACTTTTCATGACCGAGCTAAAGTCAAACTCGCTTACGCGACCGCGCTTCCACCTACAATTACCCTCTTTTTCCTGCAGAGTCCAAGGGGACCATAGACCCTTACTGAGGCTCTCAAAGACCGAGCAGCCGCCCTAACTCCAGTTTGTGCCAAACCACCTCAGCCAAGCTAAACTAGCCGGCCACAAATGGGACGCTTCCGCTTCCTTGTTGACACTCCGACCGCCTTGGCCGTATTCCGGGAGGAGTATGGTATCCTGGCCGACGTCCACCTAGAGCTCGGCGAAATTGAGACAACCCCTTGGGGCAGATTAGATCAATGCCCCTTCACCGTGCTATCCATCATTGAAGGAGGTCTTCGCTTCCCAGTCAACCCTCTAATGACCGAATTCTTACGCCGCACCGGGCTAGCACCCACTCAAGTCTCAACAAACACTTACCGAATAATCAATGGGGTCCACGAGTTAAACAACCGGCTAGGAACCAACTTAGGTTTAGCCGAGATACTCCGTCAATACACGCTTGGACACACGGGCGACGGCTTCGCCTATTACTTAAAAATTCAACCGGGGCAAAGAAAAAATAGTGATCGGCACCCCAGACAAGGACTTACACGACGACAACTTCTTTTGGGTGTCCGGTAACTATGAAACAGCCGACGTACCGGGCTGGTTCATTAGCAAGAACTTCGGCGAGACATGTAAACCGTGCTAACTGCTCGATTAATTTATCTTTCTTTGATATTCTGTACTTGACACTTTTCTTCTTTTCTGTGCAGCCATCCAAGCCTTGCAAGCCAACTACCACTACCCCAACGAAGCAGCCATAAAGACCGTGCTCCGTTACCGCAACCGGGATTGTAACGAGCTCCTCAGCTACACTCCAACATACCGGTACTCAGCTCCACGCCGGAGTAAGGTCATAGACTTTCTCCGTGCTCCATCACCTCCTCCAGATCCCACACTGCCAGACGTCCCCTTCATCCATTTAACCGAGGCAGAAGAAATGGCGAAGAGAAGCCGTATCAAGAACCTACTCATGCAACCTCCACCGAGATACAGAGCATACCAACCCGCTCTCCTGTTGCCGATCAATCCAGCGGGGCCGTGGTGGCGTTGGCATCTACCGTCGCTGGGCAAGCAAGCCAAGACACCCGCCGCGCTAGAAAAAGGCCTCGTGCAGACCCATCTGCCGAGCTGGTTGCGAAGCTTAATACCGAGCAACCTGCCGTCACGGTCGACCCAACGCCCGCATGGAAACCGCAGCTCAAGCATCGGGGCAAGGAGATCCCGGCAACAGCCTCTGTCAAAGGCAACAAAGAGCATCTGCTCGCCTTTGACCTTACCAAAGCGCTCCTGCTACCGACCGACGTGGTTGGCAGTGATCATATGCCAGACACCCGGTTGGTGAAGTCGTCGGTCAAATCCATGACCAGGGTAAGAATCTCAAACTTCTTAATCAAATCTTCTACTCAAATTTTCACAAGTGTGTGCACAGTTTCCTCTCTGATCAAGCTTTCTTCTTGCAGGCCATCCAGAAGCAGCACTTGGTCATGGAGCGCATTCACCGACTCCGACAGAAGGCCAATGATTCTGCCAGCCAGGTGACAAGCCTCCAAACCGAGCTCGGGCGGGCCAAGTCATCGCTGCAAATCGCAAATGCGGACAACAACAAATTGCTTGGCCAGCTTGATGTCACCGAGCAGGAAAGAGATGCAATAAAGATCGAGTGGGAGGCCTTGAAACAGTCGAGGGAGAAAGATCTGGAAGACGCCAATAATGCCGGTTTCAAGGAGGCCGAAGAGAGCTACACGAAGCAGGTTCATGCCACCCAAGATATCTACTTCAAGGCGGGTTGGAAGACTGCTTGTGAACAGCTCGGCCAAGGACTTGGGACCGACATATTTGCCTCTCCTCCAGCTGTCTTCTTGCCGACTTACCTTGTGCCATACGCCAACGATATCTTCGCTGCATTGCAGGCTGAGGCCGAGGAAGAAGGAGAAAAAGAAGCCGAGGGTAATGCTCAACAAGAGAACCAACCAGAGCAGCCTGGCGTCCAAGATCAAACAATCAACCTGGAGGCAACCGAGGACGAATTCCCTGACCTTTCCCCCCTAGCTTAGGTTTCTTTCTGTCTTTTTTTTTTTTTTTTGGCTTGCACATGTAACCAGGCTATCCGCCCCTCTTGTAATTACTTTTCTCATCAATGAAAAAACTCAATTTCCTTCAAGTGTTTGTACGGTCTTCAAGCGAAATAGCTTAAACTGAACAAGATACCTCGGCAAGACTAACCAGCTTGATTAACTGGAGTAAAACATCTCGGTTTCAAACTAAAAGTTAAGCAAATTGTCAACTCATTCAACCGGAGTTAACATCTCGGTTGAGAGTCAGAGTTGAACAAAATATCAACTCATTTAACTGGAATAAGACATCACAGTTGAGAGTTAAGTTGAGCAAAACATCAACTCCTTCAACTGGAGTAAGACATCACGGTTGAGAATCTAAGAGTTGAACAAAACGTCAACTCATTCAACCGGAGTAAGACATCACGGTTGAGAATCCAACAGTTAAGCAAAACATTAACTCATTCAACCGGAGTAAGACATCACAGTTGAGAATTAAGTTGAGCAAAACATCAACTCATTCAGCCGGAGTAATACATCACGGTTGAGAATTAAATTGAGCAAAACATCAACTCCTTCAACCGGAGTAAGACATCACGGTTGAGAATCTGAAAGTTGAGCAAAGCATCAACTCCTTCAACCGGAGTTATCATATCGGTTGAGAATCTAAAAGTTGAGCAAAACATCAACGCTCTCAACCGGAGTTAACATCTCGGTTGAGGATCTAAAAGTTGAGCAAAACATCAACTCTTTCAACCGAGTCATCATCTCGGTTGAGGATCTAAAAGTTGAGCAAAACATCAACTCTTTCAACCGGAGTCATCATCACGGTTGAGAATCTAAAAGTTGAGCAGAACATCAACGCTTTCAACCGGAGTTAACATCTCGGTTTTAATCTCAAAATCAACCGAAGTAAAACATCTCGGTTGAGAATCTCAAAATTGAAAAGCATCAATCAGAATGCTAAGGCAAAGATGACACACTTCTATATATTGACAAAAAGTATATTACATTCTGAAGTGTAAGGCAAAAAATTCCTTTGCACAAAAAGAAAACATAAGCTAAAAATAGTACAGTTTGAAATTGGTCGCATTCCATAGCCGGGGTATTCCTCTACCTTCCAGGTCCTCCAAGTGGTATGCCCCCTTGCCTGCCAGACCGATTATCTTGTAGGGTCCTTCCCAGTTTGCCCCTAGTTTGCCTTCACCTAGCCCAGGGTATTGCCCATGACCTTCCTCAAGACCCAGTCACCTACTTTGAACGGTCTGGGGTGCACCGTTTTGTTGTATTTCCTTGAGAGCTCCTGTTGGTAGGCGGCCACATAGATGGGAGCCTTTTCCCGACATTCTTCCACGAGGTCCAATTCCAGGGCAATGGCTTCGGCGTTCAGCTTTGGCTCAAAACTTTCACTTCTGAGGGTGGGCATTCCAACTTCCAAAGGTATGACCGCCTCCATGCCATATGCCAAAGCAAAAGGTGTTTCCCCGATAGATCGCCGTGGGGTTGTTCGGTATGCCCAAAGGACGTTGAGGAGTTCCTCGGCCCATTTTCCCTTGGCTTTCTCAAGCCTCTTCTTCAACCCATCAAGGATGGTCTTGTTTGAGGCTTCGGCTTGACCATTGGACTGTGGGTAAGCCGGGGTAGAGTTGTAGAATTCAATCTTTAAATCTTCACAAAATCCTCTGAATAGGCGACCGTCAAATTGCGTGTCGTTATCAGAGATCAGAATTTTTGGGACGCCAAACCGCGTTACCACATTCTGCCAGACAAACTGCTTGACGTCTTTCTCCTTGATTGTTGCCAAAGGCTCTGCTTCAACCCATTTGGTGAAGTAGTTTGTAGCCGCGATGAAGAACTTCCGGTTGCCTGGTGCAGTTGGGAGTGGTCCCACTATATCGAGCCCCCACATCGCAAAGGGCCAAGGGCTGGTGAGGGGAAGAAGTTCTCTGGCCGGTTGGTGAATTTGGTGGGCAAACTTCTGGCACTTCTTACACTTGCGAACATACTTTTGCGCGTCGGCTTGCATGCACAGCCACCAGTAGCCTTGCGAAATAGCTCGGTAGGCCAAAGATCTGACCCCTATGTGACTGCCACAGATGCCTTCGTGGATTTCGTACAGGAAGGCGTCCACGCTGCTCCGGTGCACACACTTTAGATAAGGATTGGTAAAAGACTTCTTGTATAAAGCATCTAACGGAGAGAGCTAAAACCGCTCTGACTTCACCCGGACTTTATGTGCTTCCTTCTTCTCGGCTGGAAGGGTCCGATTTCTGAGAAAGAGGACAATAGGGTCCATCCATGAAGGACCTAGATCGGCGCGGAGTACTTCTATTTGCCCGGTTTCCTCAATGCTGGGCCGCTGGAGGAATTCAATTAGAAGAGGGTTGGGAGATATGTTATCGACCATGGAAGCAAGGCCGGCCAGTTCATCCGCTCGGCAGTTTTCTTCTTGGCCAATCTGTTGGACCCTTATTGTCTGGAATCGCTTGATGTGGTCTCTGACCAGAGCCTGGTACTTGATCATTCTGTCATCCTTTGCTTCGTAAACCCAAGAAACTTGGTTAACCACAAGCTGGGAATCGCTGTAAACCATTAGCTCGGATGCGTGCATCTGAAGCGCGCTCTTGAGCCAGGCCAAAAGCGCTTCGTACTCAGCCTCGTTGTTTGAGGCAGGGAATCCGAGGGTGATAAAATGTTCGATAGTCAGCCTGTCTGGCGAAATCAGCACTATACCTAGCCCGGCACCGTGACGGTTTGAGGCTCCATCAACAAAAAGTTTTCACATTTCGCCAACAAAGAGCTTCCAACTGTCTGAGGGGTCCTGAGAGGCTTGAAGGTTGACGGGATCATGGTTGTTCGGCTGTTCGGCTTCAAGTTCTGCGCTAGGCGGTTCCACTTCAGCCCCCCTCTGCGATTCGGCGCCGGTCTCAGCAAGTTGATCCGTAATGCCTAAGTCCGTAGGCGAATCGCCGGGTTACAGTATTATGCCGGCTGCAGGCTCTGTGCTGTATGGTTCCATTTATTCCTCCCTTGGTGATGCGACACCGGTCGGAGCAGGTTAGTCGGTGATACCTAGCTCTGCCATCGCATCATCGGGCTGTGGTACTGTATTGACCGAAGGTTCTTCGGTGGGACGCGCAAGTTCCGCGTCGCCGTCATCGCCTAGCTGTGTTATTGCGGTCCGGCCTATATTCACCTCCTCATCTGCCGCGGCAATGTCCACCGGGCATACCGGATGAGTTCCTGGTGAGAATTCGGCAACGAAGTCTGCCAATGTCTGGGCTTTTATGGCAGTGCGTGGCTGAAACTTGACGTCAAACTGTCCTAGTTCGACCGCCCACTTGAGAATTCGATCGAAGAAATCCGCCTGTTCAAACAAAGCTTTGAGGGGGAACTCGGTCAAAACGATGATGGTATGAGCATGGAAATAGTGTGCCAACTTCCTAGAGGCCATCATCAATGCCAGTGCAAGTTTTTCCAGCGGCAAGTACCTCGACTCTGCCGGTAGCAAGGTTTTGCTAACGTAGAAGATGGGGAGGTGCTTGATTCCTTCTGACCGGACAAGCACCGCACTGACTGCGTGCTGAGAAATGGCCAAATAAAGGTAGAGTTCTTCGCCAGGCTTCGGTGTGACCAACAAGGGCGCTGAAGACAAATACTGCTTGAGTTCGGCCAAAGCCCGGTCACATTCTTCATCCCATGAGAACTTTGATTTCAGAGCTTGAAAGAAAGGACGGCAGC